AGGTAAATTTAAAATAAATTTATTTAATATATATTGAATATTTATTATTAGTCTTATAGTATTTATTTTTATTTTAGACAATTTAATAAAGACCTATTTTGGTGTTAATAATTTATGTGAAGTTCATGCTTTACTTAATGATACAAACAAGTTATGAAGTTGTGTGAATAAAATTCAAAAAAATCAAGATGACAAATGGTAATCAAGAAAAGAAAGGTTCGACTCAAGTTGGTGAGGGATCGAATAATAAGAAAGTTGATAAGGAAACGAGAGAAGGTCAGATAGCTCTAATGTTTTTGAAAAACGATTACGCTCAAGTCCTTGAACTTATGAATGGAGTCTGGAAATTAGACTTATTGACAGCCTATTTAAGTATTTTATGCATAATTATTGGGTATGCTTTGTTACTTTTAAAGGAATATGTTGAAGCTTTAAATTCTATTGTAAGCCTTGTGCCTGCTAGTAGTTTTCTCATTTCCGGAGGTGGTGTTATTGCGGCTTTTAAATCACTTGTTACTTCCAGTCCAGATTCTGATATTGAGAAAGGTGGAGAAGATTATCTCCCCGATGTCGATCTTGCAGAATCTGCTACTCTAATTGTGGAATCTAAATTAATAGATAAAGTGTGTGCTATGATTCGACGACTCGCACTAAGGAATCTAGAACTAAGAAGATTGAAAATGTTTCAATCTCTTTGGTTGTTTGCTGGTTGTATTGTTATTTTTTTTATTGCAGGATATGATTTTTTGAATTTTCTTGCTGAAAAATCTAATGGAACTATTGTGGATTGGGTCCTTATTATTATTGGTATTGTTGGCCTTCTATTCTGTGCATCTGTTAGTCTCGTGCTCGGCCTTGCAAAAGTACGTTTTAGTAGAAAAAATAAAAAAAAATGGAAGAAAAGAAAACACGTCTTTTTTATTTGGTTTGCCCTTTTGTTTGTTGCTTTGGTCTTATAAGCATAAAAGAAAAAAAATTAGAACTAGAGGACATTCGCTTTACAAGTAGAGATGGTAACCTAATTTTATATCTTCTTTATGGTGTTGATTTTATTAGTGAAGCTAATATCTACAAAGATAATAATACATAATGATGGGACTAGAGGTGCTAAAAATTAAAATGTCATACGATTTATTAAACGAATTGGATTCCTAATAAATTATTAAGTGTGATAATTAAGTATCACTATTTTTTAACCCCATAGTCCCTATCATTAATAATACCGGCCAGGATAATAAATGTCGGGGATGATGCTGAAACATTGACTTATTTTAATATGAAATTTTAAAATTTTTGGGGATGTTTTTTTGAGCTTTTTTTTGTAGTTAGGTTAGGTTTAGGGCTAGTGTTTATAATCAAAAAGTATAGTTGGATTTTAATAGGGCTTATATTTCTAAATTGACACCCCACATTTCAGCATCATCCCCGACAATAAATATTGTTGCGCTATTTCAGTATTTCAGTATTTTGTAGTTTTGTTGCACATGT